GGCACCATTGTTAGTCTGCAAACGCGCGGCTTCGTCCTGGAGCCCCTGCCCAATGCTGTGTATTGTGTCCCCTTCCAGCCGGTAAGGGAAGGAGATGGGGTCGCCCAGTACCTCACCTGCTTGCTAGGGGACACCAGCATTAGGATGCCGCCCAAGCGGGGATCGGCTCAACGCGCTGACCCGGCTTTCGAACACAAGGCCGGCATACTGCGAGCCCCCCGTGGTCTTCACCTCCTACCTGTTCGCACGGGTAAGGCTGCCTCCGAAACTGCGATTGATGTGGACTCTCCGGGAAACAGCCCTGTGCCCGCGGGTAGTAACAGTCCCGACGTGGTAGTTGCTACTGCAGTCGAGGTTCCTACGCCGCAGCAGTCGCCAGCCCAAGGCGAGGCTACCACAAACGCGCGCCATGGCGAGCGGTTGGGTACACCATGACTCCAGCCTCGGGCCGCGAGGGGCTCCATTGCGGCAGCTGTCAGCCCGCCTCCGCCAGCTAGACGGGACGTTTCCCGAACCCCTTGCGGCACCCCAACGCGGGAGAGAGGACCACTGACGAAGGAGCCTGCAAAAGAGCATGCGGACTCCCTCTAGTGAAGTTGATCACAGGATCGGAGGGGGTAGCGCCGCCTCGTGTCCACCCCGTAGTGGCGGCAACATTAGGGACCCGCCGCCTGGCGTACGACGTCCACCCAGCCCCCGGACACGGCCCACGCACACAGCATCTCCGGATGGGATTAGGACGGTTGAGGCAGCCCCCTTGCGCTAAGTCTCCCACGGACTCACTTGGCCTGACGGAACCAAAATCGGATTTCCCTATGCCTCCCCATGGCCTGACGCCCATCCCCGCCAGGCCTGTGCCCGCTGTCCAAGCTCGCAAGGAAAGTCGGCCTCTCGCTTTGGACGAAGACGGCTCTCAGCAGCTGGAACCACCAAAAGCCAAGCCTCGAGGGCCTAGCGAGCCCAGCGGCACCCGCGATCCCAGCGCCCCAGCCTGCGCACCCATCATGCAGAGCAACACAGTCTCGGTCTGTGATCTCATGTGGCGCGCACTTGCAGCGGGACATCACTTTGGTAAGAATGTCAAACCTCGGCCCTACATGAACCTGCGTGACTCGCAACACCTCACAACACACTGCCAGCAGCTTCGGGCATATAGGGCCTATGAGGTGTTTTTGAACGGCATACAGAACCAGCTGCAAGACTCGGGTATGCTGATCGGAATCGCTGACACGCTACTGCATCTGCCTGAAACGTTTCCGGCAGCGTATTTGAAGGTTTATGACCCTATCATCACGCAGTGCCTTAGATTGTCGGGGGCATTGCAGCATTTCGACCTTGCTGAAATGTTGGATTGCCCGGTCCCGCAGCTGGACAAAGCGAGGCTTTCGGAGTCTCTGGTGGGGTATGGCTTTCTTACCACAGCGCAGTACATCGCGGATCTTTTCTCTGCGGCGTCGGACTTGCCGAGTGTCATCAATGCCAGTTTTCCTGCAATGCTCAGCTACGCTGACCCAGATTATTGCTGGGTGCACTTCTGCTCGCATTCGAGTCCCACCAAAAAGGTCCCCTGGAGCGTACGGCAGGGCTGCCCATTGTTATTGGTTTTCCTGAATCTGACAATAAAATTACTAACCTGCAGATCAATGTGCCGCCTGCAGCCATGGTGGTCTTCTTGGCTGGCCGCACTTATCGGTGTCCCACGTGCCCTACTACCAAAAAAGTGATGGACGCGCACAGTGGACTGCCACAAGCCTGGAATCCTAGAAGCCCAAAACCTTTTGCAGACAAACTTGAAACTCTAGAAACCTTAGAGCCGAAACCCTAAATCCTGCAATCCGCAGCCGTTCATCCAAAATCTACGACTAAACTTCAAACTCTCTAAACCTGACACTTCTAATTAGAAACGAAACCCCAAGCCCGAAGCTCTTCCAAGCTCGTGGCTTTTTTCGACAGCGAACAATCGCCAGCCGCTAAGCCTTCAAACTCTGAAACCCGAAGCTTGCAAACCCACAAACCTGCAGGCCCTAAGCCCGAGACCTCAAACTTCAACGCAAACAAAAACAACTTTTGGTTTTCTGCATTTGCGCGCCGCGCTCTTGCCTTCCGCACACACTGCACTTCCACAGCTACGAAACCCCACGCAGGCCGATGATTTGGTGCTTTCTTTGATTGGAAAACCGATTGGCCAGAGGCAGTTGCTGAATAGTCACTGGCCAAGCCTTCCAAGAAGCCTTGCAGGCATGGGCCGCAGCTGCTAAGCACCCAGCCCAGCCTGAATACGTTCCTGGGCATCACGCTGCAGCACACAGACATTAGGCAAAGGCACTGTCAAGAATTTAGGCCGGACCTTCCCCTGCCCATTTTCTTGACGCCATCCGGCTTGCTCTTGCGGAGATGTCTTGCCAGTCATCTTTGAGCATTGGAAAAGGGATCAGCACCACACCACCAAGCATGGGCCCCAACGTCCCCAAAATGCGTGGTATGACGCAGCCACTGCTCACCAAACATCCAACCAAGCAGCGCCTCAACAGCTTCTGGTTTAGGATGCACTGTCATGGCACCTCCAAGGACTCTGATCCTTCGGCCCTGTGCTGCAGTTACCTCCTTCCCCTTTCAGGGCCGTTGCACGACACGGGGGTGTCACCGTCCAGACGAGAAATGGTCAACACTTAAGTCCGAGGGGTTCACACACGGTAGCACAGAGAAGCGGGCAACCTGCCCACCTAGAGGGGGCAGAGGAAAGGAAGATTGGCCGTTTTACCGATGACAAAGCTGGAACATCCAGGCAGAACCGGTCCAGGGTGGTCCAGTGGAGCAACCACGAAAGAAAGGCCCCCTGTTCCCACAGGCACACCGCGGGGCCGACCCAGAAGGGTGTTTACAGCTGCTCAATGGCAGCCCAGCTCGCATGACCCCCAAGCTGTAAGCACACAAAAGACAAGCACGATCCAATCCGTGGCATAGACCACGAGAGGGTTGCCAAACCAAGAGAATCCCGAGGTAGTCTTGCGGCATGTATCGGTGAGGAGATGTGAGGGCTCACATCACGCTAAGCAGCATGCCATGAAAGAACTCAATGTGCGTTCGCATGGCGTCAGTGGGGCCCTCGAATGACAGTTTGCTGTCTATTGCCAGGAGCCATTCCAGTCCGGACGCCGGGAGCGATGGCCAGCTGAGGTGGTGTGGAAACGTCTCCCTCGGCTAGGCATGACCTGCATTCGAGGCAGCTCTTGCTCATCAACCCCCCACTTAGAGATGCCGTCCGGAATGGCGATACGCATGTATCTTGTCATTGAGGTTTGGGCCGCGTGCCACATCACCCGGACAGCTTTCTGGATTTGCCTGTACTGCACAACACCTTCGTTCTTTTTCTCTGCTTGCGTCAAAGCAGCCATACATGACACCTCCCCATCGGTAGGTGGCCAAGCGTGATGTGAGCCCTCACATCTCCTCGCCGACGTCTGTCGGTTTGGGCATGGAGGGTCTGGTAATCGTGCTGTAAGTACAAACCTTTATTTTCCGGAGAAAAGTTTTCGAATTCTACGAATGAGAAAGTTTTTCGGCTCAGACGAAGAGAGGCCACAGCCCTCTCAGCCACAACCCTCGTGGAGAGGGTCCGGAAAATTTTTCTACCTTCCTACGGTCTGGTGGGGGAAGTGGGAGCCTCACAGAAGGTCGATGGCGTTTGGAGCTTACCCATTTTGAGCTTGGTTTTGAAAGCTGTGTTGCCTTCTTGTTCCTGAGCTTTCTTGGAGCATGGTGCGTTGTTGTAGTCTGAGCCAGGACGCAATTTAAGGATTCTTTTCTCCAGGTCTATCTTGGAGACTTTGTGAGTGCGTTGGTTGCTGTGCATTGCTGTCGCTTGAAGTTTGCTGGAGTGCAGGTAGATTCCTGGAGACGAGCTAGTGTCTTAGGTTTCAGAACTTGCTGCAGCTGGTAGCTGTTCTCGTCGACTGCGAGAGTTGTACATGTCAGGTCAAGATATTTTATCTTGCAGATGTGGGGACCCGGAGTGCCCTCCTCGTTAGCCGACGGCCAAGCAAAAGGTTCAGCAGCGTGTCCGTCCTGCCCTGACAACAGGTCCTAGACGCTAAGGCACGGAAGGTGTGAGCAATCAGTGCTTGCATTTGCACTGTCTCTGGAGTCTGCTGCGTGGTTTGTGTTTTTGAAGCATGTTAGTTTGTGTTGGACCTTTGCAGATAGAACCACATTGTCAAGTGAACACTGCTGCACTTCAGGTGGTGTCTTTCGAAGTGAAAAGTCTCCGGGGAGAATTATATTGCATGGGCAGTTCCAAGAATGCTGCAAGGGCAGCTCGAGAGAGATCAAGCTGCTAAGGCAGTCGTGGTCAAAGATCGGCTGAAGGGTCAGCTCGTTGAGATTTGTTGCAAGGGCAACTCAAATAGTTTTGCTGCAAGGGCAGCTGAAGATGGCAAGGGCCAATATTCAATGCACACAATGAGTGTGCTTCATACATCGCTGCAAGGGCAGCCCATTCTTTCAGGCCGTGACGACAGCCAAATCCGGCAAGGGCCGGCAAGAGGTGCAAGGGCACCGATCAGTCGTCTAGTAGAGACGAGAGGTTCTCTCGAGAGCTTGAAAACAGAAAGATTGCAAGCTGCTATCAACTCAGCACTTAATTGCACATTTCAAGGGAAAGACGTGCTGACATCTGAGTTTACTCTCCCAAACCTGAATTTCTCTCGGCTCAAAAAAAAAAAGAGAGACAAAAAGGGTAGCAAAGGCTCTGAGAGGAAACAAAAGCCAGGGGGCAAAGAAAAGAGGCGTAAGCCCAGATGTTTCCGTGGCCCTTCTTTCCGGGCGGTGAGTCACAAGGCTCTGCCTCCAGGGGCCGCAGGAGGAACAGAAGCAGCAGCGACAGCCGTCGCTCAAGACGCAGAGACAGGCGCCGAAGGGCGTCTAGGTCGCGCAGCCCAAGGGGGCGTCGAGAAAGGTCTCCAGAGACCCAGCCGAGGACCCCAATTGTTGGGAGCCCTAGCATGCCAGCTCCGCAGCCAGGATTTCACTGGTGCCAGGTGCCGACTGCGGTCTTCGGCGTGGCGTCTGGCCCACAGACCCAGGCATCCCTTCCTGCTCAGAAGGGAGCTGAGGCAGCTTCTTCTTGGAAGGACTCCTCCCGGTGGCAAGAACAGTCCACCCCATGGAAGAGCCAGCAGTCTTCATGGGGCAAAGGTTGGGGGCATTCTAAGAACTACGGCTCCAGCAGCTCGTGGCAGGGCTCTGGAGGGAATCGGCGTGAGAAGTGGGACAAGCCTAAAGGCTGGAACAAGTGGCCCAAGCCTGAGCAAAAGCCGGCTAAGGAGCAGTATGGGCGAGGGGCTGCCCCCAAGGAGGAGGAGCCGGAGACTCTCCTCGACCCAGTTATGGCTGGGATTTTTGGCGCCCGGCAGCAGGGGCCGCCTGAGAGGCCCGACTCTGCATTCAACGTTGCGGAGGCGACGGAGGAGGAAGTTCAAGCGGCGGCCAACCGCAAGGCTGAGCGCGAAGAAGAAGGGTTCCACAGTCAGCTCTGGCAAGGGGCGATCGCTAAGGCCCTCGCAGACCCCTCGCGACCCAAGTGCGCTCGAGAACTGATGCGTGAGGGCATCTTGCGAAGCTGGTGGAACATGTCCTGGAAGGACGCCCGAGGCCTGATTGACGGGACCGTGAAACATTTTTGTTTGGAAAATAAGATTCTGGTTATTGAACCCTCAACCCTCACCGGCCAAGGAGATAGTTGCTTGGCCTTGAGTGCGAAGTTTCGACTGGGGGACTCTCCCGCTTCCTGCGGGGCAGGTGGGGTCCCCGCCTGCTTGGGTTTACCTGATGGCTCTGATTGGAACGAAGCAGTCAAGCCTGCTTTGGCCGTCGGACGAGACTCTTGTGAGTCAAAAGAGCGTTGCGCCTTGTGCTCGGAGAGGCTCCACTGGCTGACCACCATGGAGTGCTCTGGGCTGGTCCTACCCTTTGTTCTTGCCGTTAAGTCCCCACTGGCTGACCACCATGGGGCAACTTTATACTTCGGATCAAGAAGGTTGACACCTGCAACGTCCCGTGCCAAGGCACGACTATGCCCCACCTGTGATGGCGGACTTGTGAACCTTCTCGTGAACGGCCTTGGCTGGTGCTGAATGCAGTCGCATCGGTGGCTGCATGATGGTGGTTTTGTGAATCTGGCAACGTCGCCTTTTGCGACGCACCTGCGCACTCGGTGCTACATGTGTGCTCCCGGCCTCTTCGACGATTTCGAGTACTGAGTGCACAGGGTGACCTAGCAGTTCGGCGCGCTGGCTGTGGACACTTCTACGTGGAGATTATGCACCTGCTGACTTGGCAGGGAGCCATTCCCCACTTGTAGAACAACCTGGCCCTCTTGAGACTCTAGAGGGTCACCCTCGTCTGAGCTTGGCCTGCGGCAGGGCAAGTGGGCTCCCCGCCCGCGTGGATGTTACCTGAAGGCTCTGATTGGATCAAAGTAGCAATACCATGGAGATCCTTGCACTTCGGCACCAATGTGATGTGAGCCCTCCCATCTCCTTACCGACGTACCTTGCGGGTTTGGGTTTGGAGGGACCTGATGCGTGCCGATGCGCAGGCCAGCGCCAAGGTTGCGTGGCCTTGTGTGAGATGCCTGGACTGGGAGGTTCCTCGTTGTCATTATAAACCCTGTGGCGTTAAGGGTTTGGTAACTCGCTGTGGACTCTCCCCGTGGAATCGGTAGCTGCAGCTACTCTCGCCCCCCCTCTGGCCGTGCGCGGGCACCTCTCTGGGTGGGCACTTGTACGCCAGGTTGACTGGAGAACCCTGTGCTCGGAGCTACTCCACTGGCTGACCACCATGGAGTGCCCTGGGCCGGTCCTGCTTTGATTGTTCTTGCTGTCAAGTCCCCACTGGCTGACCTCCATGGGGCATATGCCCCCTGTGCCGGGCGCGGACACCTCTCTGGGTGGGCACTTGTACGCCAAGGTGAATGGAGCACCCAGAGCTCGGAGCTACTCCACTGGCTGACCACCATGGAGTGCCCTGGGCCGGTCTTGCCTTGATTGTTCTTGCTGTTAAGTCCCCACTGGCTGACCACCATGGGGCATATGCACATCTTTCATCCCCCCTAGGGAGTCTGACTTGCAACATCCTTTCGCCATTGAGTGTCGGTTGTCTGTCCTTGACAACGAGTACGTGATCCGAACCTCTTCTGATGACCTCGGTTTGAATAACCGCTGTCGCACCAGTGGCTACATGATGGTGGTTTTGAGAATCTGGCAATGTCGCAATTTGCGATTCCCCCACAAGCTCTGTGCTTCCTTGTGAACCGGGACTTCATTGACGACTTCGAGTACTGAGTCCGTGGGGTATCTAGTAGTTCAGCGCGATTGCTCGCTTTGTTTCTTTGGTGTTTTTTTGCTTGGTGGTTGCTTGGTGTGTCTGGCGGATTGTGTGCGCTGACTTTGTTTCACCCTTTACGTCGAGCCCAACAAGACCGGCCTACTGTGCTACTGATGTAGTAAAGAGGCGTCAGCCCAAAAAAAAAATCTCTTCACCTTTAGGACGTACCATTCATCTCTTTTCTTGTTCCCTTTTCTCAATTGCCAGAACTTCTATTAAAATCAGATGTTGGATTCATAAGTCTAGAAACTCCCTAACACACAACTTTTCCAGGTCATCTATTCACCTTTTCACTCATGACTCCAAGAAACTAAACCTTGAGACTCTAACTTGCCCCTGTCTTCGCTTGGTTTTCATGCGTCCTTTCACTTCTCGCCCATTAGAGATTTGAAGCTGGTGTTTTTAGGGCCTTTTTTGGAAGCTTCAAAAAGTGTTTGAACTGGCGTCGCATCTGCCAGCAGCGTGCCCGGGTTGCCGATGTCGTGGAGTTTGCTAAAAGTTGGAAGGGAGGCATGACGTATCAGCTGGTCGAGCACAACAACCTGCACCCGACAGCGCAGACGCTCGGTGCGGATGCGGAGGAAGCGGCTCGGAGGGTCCGCGAAGGTCTCCTTTGTGGGCATCACTGAGGATTGGGGCTTGTCAATATGCCTCCTCCACAAGATGTTTGGGGGAGCTTGCCAGGCATCGGATTTTTAAGATACGAGGCCGAGCTCGGAAGCAAAGTCTGCGCATGCGGACTATGATATATATATATATATATGAACTCATGGACTGGCATGATGACGTCGATAGGGTGGTCTACGATGCCGCTGTGGAAGTGTTTCAAAGGCCTTCGATGTTTCTCATGATTCCTGCCGCGAGTGCTATAGCCATGCAGAGAGAGGCCCTTTTGCAAGGATTTCAGCAACATGGTCACGTGTGTTTGGGATTTGTGGTGCTTCGAATTGTTCTACAGGTTTGGGTGAGTTCATGTGCTTGGTCAGGCCACGTGCAGACAGCGTGATGGCCGGTTTGCGCAGACAGCGTTGAAAAGAAAGCATGTCGCGATCGGGAGATAGATAATTTCTTCCGTGAACATTCTCCGGATGATTAATGTTAACAGTGCAAGAAATAGGGATTAACACGCTTGAAGTGGGATGAAATCCACAACAAAAACGAAATGTCTAAACTGAAAGAAATGTACTTATACATGCCAGTAAGAGGGTATGAGGATTGTGCCTGCCAAGTCTTCAAAGCAGTTTTCTGGGAAACGCCACTTCGACTGGCCTTCAGCTGTCACTTCTTTTAAGGTTTGGGGGGTTCAAGGGAAGTCACGTGCAGGGAGTCCCGAACTGCAAGTTGCCCAGTCGTTTAGGGTTTAGGGTTTAGGGTTTAGCGTTTAGGGTTTAGGGTGTATGGGGTTCAGGTTTAGGGTTTAGGGTTTAGGGGCAGGGTCATTTGGGTGTTAAGTAGGCATCAGGATGTTTTTGGGGACACAGAAAGTGCAAACTTGCGGGACCAGTGGTGCCCCTTTTGCCCTCTTTGGGCTGCCGGCGGGTTTAGGCGCTAGGGCTACTATCCCTATCAACCCTAAAACCCTAAACCCTAAACCTGAACCCGAAATCCTAAACCCTAAACCCTAAGCCCTAAACCCTATATAAGCCCTAAACCCTAAACCCTAAACCCTAAACCCTAAACCCTAAACCTTAAACCTTAAACCCTAAACCCTAAGCTTTCTTGCACGCCTTTGGAGTGGCCCGCCTCTGTGCCGACTGCTCTGGATGGCCTCTGTAGCCACCACCGTGGCGCTCCTTGTCAATGAATAGGGTTGAGTCTTTGGGGGTTTAGGGTTCAAGGGTGTCGGGTTTAGGGTTTCGGGGTTGGGGGGTCTAGGGGTTTAGGGCTACATGATGTACTCCCGCGTGCTAGAGATTCATCTAGTCTTCCTGCAGACCCTTTAAGCCCAAAAAAGCACCACAGGGTATCATGATCCCAACTTCAGGGTATTGGAAACCTGAATCCGGAAGCCCTAAGCCCGAAGCCTTAGGGGAATTCTAACGGCTCCAGACATTTGGGGTATTTTCTTTGGTCCTCCGAGGATGGTTTTGCTCCACTCTGCGGTGAGCTTCAAGCCTCACGGCTGTTTTTGGTTTATTTTGAAGGGTTTAGGGTTCAGGGTTCAGGGTTGAGGGTTCACGGTTTAGGGTTCAGGGTTTAGGTTTCTATTTTTGTTGTTGTTGCTTTTCTCTTTTTGTTGTGGTGGGGGAGGGTAGGGGCTTAGGGTTTGTAGCGTGTTAGAATTTTGGGCTGTGAATTTGCAAAATGTGTCTGTGTAGGGTTTAGTTCTGTCTTTCTGAATTGCGTTTGAAGGCCTGGAGGTTTGGGATTCGAAGCCCTAAACGACCCAAAGCCTTATGCCGATACCCTAAGCGCCCACAACCCTCAACCCTCCACCCTCAACCCTCCACCCTCAACCCTCAACCCTCAACCCTCAACCCTCAACCCTCCACCCTCAACCCTCAACCCTCAACCCTCAACCCTCAACCCTCAACCCTCCACCCTCAACCCTCAACCCTCAACCCTCAACCCTCAACCCTCAACCCGCAACCTTCAACCCTCAACCCTCAACCCGCAACCCTCAACGCTCAACCCTCAACCCTCAACCCTCAACCCTCAGCCCTCAACCCTCAACCCTCAACCCTCAACCCTCAACCCTCAACCCTCAACCCTCAACCCTCAACCCTCAACCCTCAACCCTCAACCCTCAACCCTCAACCCTCCACCCCCTCACCCTCAACCCTCAACCCTCAACCCTCAACCCTCAACCCTCAACCCGCAACCTTCAACCCTCAACCCTCAACCCGCAACCCTCAACGCTCAACCCTCAACCCTCAACCCTCAACCCTCAGCCCTCAACCCTCAACCCTCAACCCCTAAACCCTGAACCCTAAACCCTCAGCCCTCCATCCTCAACCCCTAAACCCTAAACCCTAAACCCTAAACCCTAAACCCTAAACTCTTAACACTAAACCCTAATCCCGAAACCCCAGGCCTCACGTCGTCTTCTTCCTGGCTGACGACCATGGTTGGAGCGACTTGGGCGCGCACCGCGCAGCTGGGGAGAGTGCAGAAGAGGCTGGGTTGAAAGGTTTAGGGTTTGGGGTTTAGGGTTTAGGGTTTGGGGTTTAGGGTTCAGGGTTTAGGGCTGAGGGGTTGAGGATTTGGGGGGAGGTCGAGGTTCAGGGGTTGTGATCAGGGTTTCAGGGGGATTCGGATTTCAGGGCTTGAGGTCAAGAGTTAAAGTCATGCATGGAAGGGTTTCTAGGCTAGGGTTTGGGGCGGCACCTTTGTTTCTTCATTGAGGGCCTGGCTAGGGTGGGGTTAGAAGTTAGAAAGTGGCGTGGGCTTTTGCCGAACCCGAATACGAGACGCCACAAAACTAAGCACTCTGAAACCACTCTTCGGGCGCTAACCCGAGACTTGTTTTGATTCTGCAGACTTATAGGGTCCTCAAGGTAAACTGGTTCATGGGGGTAGCCTAGGGAACCTTAGGGAAGCTTAGGGAAGCTTAGTGAGCGATGAGTGGGGAGTATGAGGGAACCTGGGGTTACATACTCTAAACCCCGAACCCGAAACTCAAGTCTCCCTTGCCCCCCCCTCCCTTAAGAACATTTCAGAGCCCTAAACCCTAAACCCCAAACCTTAAACCCTAAACCCTAAACCCTAAACCCTGAACCCTGAACGATAGTGAGGGTTTCGTGCGAAGGTCCAGGCCCAGACTGAGACGCACACGCCAAACCTCGATTCCCTGGTCCGAGAGGGAGTTCTCCTGGAGCGTCATTATGCCTATCGCACTTGCTCGCCCTCCAGGCTGCTCTGGGATTAGGGTTTAGGGTTAAGGGTGAACCATTGTAGTTGCAGCTGATCTTTACCCATGAATGTTTTGTGCTAGTTGGCTTCTGGTTGCTATTCGCAGTGCAACGGGTTTGGTATGAGCATTGCCGGTGCTAGTTCGTTGTTAATGTAAGTCCTAGACCGACGAGGTTTACGAATTTAGGGTTTAGGGCCGAGGGCCTTCCAATATTAAAGACGGAGCATCAGTTGCCCAGGTCACAACCTGCGCAGTCTGGGTTAACCCAGCACCCTAAACCCTAAACCCTAAACCCTAAACTCTAAACCCTAAACCCTAAACCCTCTACTGGTCCCTAGGGCTGTATAGGGCAAATCGCCCTTGCAGCTACCCGGAAGAACACACCTAGCCCCTAAACCCTTAAATCTAAAAATCCTAAACCCTTAACCCTAAACCCTAAACCCTTAACCCTTAACCCTTACCTAGTAGTAGAGTAGGCAACCTTTTACCTTCTTGGGGTAGTATAAACCCCTTATACTACCTTTATTGCCCCCAGGTTACTGGACAACTAGGCTTAAATCTAAAATCCTAAACCCTTAAACCCTAAACCCCTTACCCCTCAACCCTCAACGCCAAGCCCCCTGAACCCAAGTCAATAGACTCCAAGCCCTAATCAATACTTGGAGGTTCATGGTACTTTTTAGCCAATTATAACTGTACTTATAATTGAACTTATAACCCAAAAAGGGCACTTAAGGGGCTTACAGGTGGGTTAGAAGTACAGTTGTAATTGGTTAATAAGTACCATGAACCTCCAAGTAACCCTAAACCCTAAACCCTTAACCTTAGCCCTAAACCCTGAACCCAAACCCTAAGCCCTAAACCCTCAACCCTCAACCCTAAACCCTAAACCCTAAACCCTATACCCTAAACCCTAAACCCTAAACCCTAAACCCTAAACCCTAAACCCTAAACCCTGTACCCAAAACCCAAAACCCAAAACCCTAAACGCTAAACCCTAAACCCCAAACCCTAGACCCTAAACCTCAACTTGTTTTGCCAGGTCTTCCCTCCAAAGCGGCCGCCTGCCAGTCCACGTGAACCCAGGATTTGTTAGCATGCTTTTGCTGGGTTTAGAGGGTTTAGGGTTTAGGGTTTAGGGTTTAGGGTTTAGGGTTTAGGGTCAGAGGCTTTGCATAGTGTGACAACATATGTTCGGCGTTGTGTACTCGTATGGTCTGCGGCGGGTAGACGGAGTGGTGGGGCGAACGGAGCGGACGAACGGACGGGCTGACGGGACACTTGCAAGCTTTTTTTGGCCAAGTGTGGCAATTTCAGCTTAGGGTTTAGGGTTTAGGGTTTAGGGTTTAGGGTTTAGGGTTTAGGGTTTAGGGTTGTGTTCGCTGCACAAGCATCGCGGCTTGAATCGAGCTAGCTTCTCCGAAACGGGTCATGCAGCTCGTGTAGAACTAGCGGCGGTCATCTTCATCGAAGAAAATCTCCTTTTCCATGTCCATCAGTGCACGGAGACATGTACTGGCTGCTCCAAAATGGAGCATAATAGAGGTGATTCCTCTGCCACAGAGTCAAGATCTGCTCAAGCCGAAGACTTTCAAAGCGCAAGCCGCTGTACAGGTTCCATACAAGCCGCTGTAGCAACACATCAAAACCTTCATTCATCTCTTCATCCTCAGGGGGGTAGCCCCAAAGGCGCGCGCCTACAACAGCAGGGTCCTATAGAGGTACTGTGTTTGTAGTACAGCAGCACTACGTTTGTACTACAGGAAGACCACAAAGGGCGGGTAACCCCAAAAGAGCGCGCGCGTAGAACAGCAGGGTGCTGTAGAGTTACTGCGTTTGTAGTACAGCAGTACTACGTTTGTACTAATTCCGCTTCCACGAGTTTGCGATGTGCTCCCACTAAGATTTGCGAGTTTTTCGAGCGCGCGGAATTCGAGGGCGCGTGCGGCGGAGGCATCGGCTGGCGGCGGGCAGGCGGCGGGCGCAAGCAATAGAAAAAAGAAAAGCCCACGGTGATGTGGGGAAAAACTTAAACCCTAGACCCAAATCTCATGTCTTCCTTTAACATGATTCGGGACTTCCCCCCCAGGAATGTTCTGGATTCCACGAGCCTCAACTGGAACCCGAGCGACAACATTTCTGGATTTGCGGGGATCCCGCCTGGCATGACTGGCATAGCCGAGAAGATGAAGCACCATGGCGGTTGCATGTTTAGGGTTAGGACAGCGCGCGTCTTGCTGTTGCTCATTTGTGCGGGGAGCTCCACGGCAAAGTCTTAATTCCTGGTGAGAATCCCTAAGCCCTACACCCAACACCCTAAACCCTAAACCCCAAACCCTGAACCCTAAACCCTCTTAGTCTTGAAGAAGACCAAGACCGGTGCATCAAACAAGGCAGGGCGGATATGCCACACACATGGTGGGTAAATGGCACGTAGGTATGGCTACGCCCTCCCACACGCCGCTTGGAAAGGGCTACGATTCGTGGCTGGGCTATCTGCAATTTAGCAATGACTACTGGCACCAAAACTCACCCTCTGGCGTCGACTTTTGCGTGAAAAAATTCTTGGACTTTTCGCTGTACAATGCCACCTACCGGGCAGGTGTGAACCTAGGTTGGAATGTTTGGGATTTTCCCTTACAGTAAGCCCCAAAAAGGTTTGAAGCCTGTTTAAGGACAAACAGTGCTGCGATTCCCTATACCTTACTCCTAGGGATTGAGGCTATTGAGTTTCCAACTTTTTGGCTTCTACTATATTGGGTTTACGAGAGCCGTATTTAGGAAAATTTTCAGACGGTTTTAAGATCCATCGCAGGAACGAAGCCATTGCAGCTGAGCTTGGATGTAATGTTCGTGCACGGCCCGGGCAGAAGATAGAGGTCAACGCCACAGGCTGTAACCTGGCAGATCCCAGCCACTGTCTGCCTAGCGGTTGCTATGAAGAGTCCATGCTCAATGAGTATGCTCTGAAGATCATCAGGGCACATGACAAGAGCCTGCCGCTCTTTCTCTTCTATGCATTTCACCTCGTCCACAGCCCCATGCAAGTTCCTTCCTCGTACTTGCAGCAAATCGATGACATTGTTGCCCAGAGTGGCTAGGTAGGCACTTGGGATGTTTTTTATATTCCCTTCTAGGGTTTAAGAGCGTCATATTCAGGAATATTGACCCTAAACCCTAAACCCTCAACCCTGAGAACCCTAAAAACCCCAAAAACCCTAAAAACCCCTAAAAAACCCCTAAAAACACCAAAAACCCTAAAAACCCTAAAAACCCTAAAAACCCTAAAAACCCCAAAAAACCCTAAAAGCCCTAAAAACCCTAAAAACCCCCAAAAACCCTAAAAACCCTAAAAACCCTAAAAACCCTAAAACCCCTAAAAACCCTAAAAACCCTAAACCCCAAACCCCAAACCCTAAACCCTAAACCCTAAACCCTAAACCCGAAACCCCTCAACCCTCAACCCGAAAACCCTCAACCCTCAACCTTGAGGGTCTTGCGGCCCTAGGTGCGGTTCCCCGGCCCATTCCGTGGACGGAGAATCGCAGGCTCCATGCCGCTATGAACCTCTACATGGACACCTTGGGGGGTGCAGCCTCCGTGGTCTTTAGGGTTTAGGGTTTAGGGTTTAGGGTTTAGGGTTTAGGGTTTAGGGTATTTTATACTCTATACCTGACAAACAGGACACCATGGTGGGAAGAGTGGTCTCTGCTCTCAAGGAGCAGCTGCTTGGTTTAGCCCAGCGATACCCTTTTTTGCTCTTTTTGCTCTTCTTCTGGCTCTTGGTTCTAACCGCCCCCCCCCCCCCCCCCCCCCAAAAAAAAAAAAAACAAAGTAAGGGTACCCCAAACCCCAAACCCCAAACCCCAAACCCCAAACCCCAAACCCTAAACCCCAAGCCCTAAAGCCACCTGGCAAGGCAGATGTACCAGGACACCCTCATGATCTTCGTCAGCGACAATGGTGGGTCTGTGCCAGAGCCTGAGTCTGGCAACAACTGGCCCTTGAAAGGAGGCCTGAGATGCCCGTGTCGTTCCTGTCTTTTTCGTTTGGCTTCTCTGCACGTCCCTCTCTCTTTTTTTGAGGCTCATTTGCACAAGTCTTGAGGACTTAACCCTAAACCCCAAACCCCAAACCCCAAACCCTAAACCCTGAACCCTAAACCCTGAACCCTGAACTCTAAACCCTAAACCCCAAACCCCAAACCCTAAACCCTAAACCCCCCCCCCCCCCCCCGACAATTTTCGGGGCCACATGGAAGTCTAGGGGTTTAGGGAGGCGGGCTAAGGATGGTTTTGGACAAGCCAGGTGTAACTCGTGGTGGAAGTATGCTTGATATCCCTCTCAAGTGGTTTATAGGGTTTAGGGTTTAGGGTTTCGGGTTTAGGGTTTAGGGTTTCGGGTTCAGGGTTTAGGGTTTAGGGTTTAGGGGTTGGGGTCTCTTTTTTCCCCCTGAGCATGCTGCACAGGAAAATACAGTGACTGGGACGGCGGAGTGCGCACGAACGCTTTGGTGTCAGGCGGGTCGCGTTGCGAACCCCTGAAGTCCTGATTCCTCAACCCTAAGCCCTAAACCCTAAACCCTAAACCCTAATTAAACCCTAAACCCTAAACCCTAAACCCTAAACCCTAAACCCTAAACCCTAAACCCTTATTAAACCCTAAACCCTAAACCGTAAATCCTAAACCCTAAACAAACCCTAAACCCCTAAACCCGGATTCCTAAACCCGAGACCCCAAACTCAAAACCCGGGTACCGACACCCTCAACCCAAAACCCTTCACCCTCATTCCTCCACCCTGAGGCCTTTCAGGCCTGCACCCGAAATTTTGGATCTAGGATTTAGGATTTAGGGTTTAGGGTTTAGGGTTTGTTTAGGGTTTAGGATTTAGGGTTTAGGGTTTAATTAGGGTTTCGAACCTCTTTTTCAGGTGGGTTTGTGCCGCCAGCCCGTCGCGGGTCCAAGTTCGACGGCATCATCTCCGTTGCCGACCCTGGTCCGGTTGAGGGTGTGACCCTAATCCCCAAACCCTAAACCCTAAACCCTAGACCCTAAACCATAGGGCAATAGGGGTCAAGATCCCTTAGCACATTGCAGGTGCTACCTCCTCAGCGGTCACCAGGGTATGTCGGCCTGGTTTGTTCATTCCCCCTTTAAACCAAAAAGGTTACTCCTGTGTCTAGCTCCACATGGCAGGCGGTAGACTCATTGGAGTCTTAGGGTGTAGACCCCAAGCCCTAAACCCTAAACCCTAAAGCCCAAAGCCTAAACCCTGAACCCTAAAGCCACGTAAGGCTTCCTAAGTTGCCCTTGTGGTGTCTTCAGCGTCTCCCTTGTTTGGGTTTGAGACTGTCGCCGCAAACGGTGAACTACGCCCTACACGCTTGGAGGTTGCGTTTAGGGTTAAGGGTTAAGGGCTTAGCATTTAGGGTAGCGCGTTTAACTACCCTAAAAATGGTTCTGACCCACAGTATCTATAGCTACCCTACCCCTTGTCCTACGTACAATTAACCTAAGTACCCTAAGTACCCTAAACACCTCAAGCACCCAAAATAACCCTAAGCACCTTAAACACCCCCAAATAACCCAAACACCCTAAACCCTAAACCCTAAACCCTAAACCCTAAACCCTAAACCCTAAACCCTAAACCCTAAACCCTAAACCCTAAACCCTAAACCCTAAACCCTAAACCTAACCCTAAACCCTAAACCCTAAACCCTAAACCCTAAACCCTAAACCCTAAACCCTAAACCCTAAACCCTAAACCCTAAACCCTAAACCCTAAACCCAAACCCTAAACCCTAAACCCTAAACCCTAAGCCCTAAACCCCAAACCCTAAACCCTAAACCCAAAACCCCAAGCCCCAAACCCAAACCCTAAACCCTAAACCCTAAACCAACAAAAACGCATGAGACACCAAGACGGCTAAGGATTGGTATGCTACCCTCTCCACACTTGCGGGCGTTTCCATCCGAGATGCCAAGGCAGAGATGGTAAACAGGCCCCTCGATCGGATCCTTGGAGGCTCGAGGCTTCGAGTTTAGGGTTTAGGGTTTAGGGTTTAGGATTTAGGGTTTAGGGTTTAGGGTTTAGGATTTAGGGTTTAGGATTTAGGGTTTAGGGTTGGCGGCAGGGTTCTGTAATGCAGCCGTCATGCCTTTCGTGTTCTTAGGGGGCTATCAGGGTTGAGCAGGCCATGGTGTAAGACCCTGCAGAGCGTGAGGGCTAGTTGAAGGCAGAGGCTACTTGGGGTAGCCCCCAAACCGTAAGACCCTAAAGCCTAATGAGTCCAACCAATACAAACAACGGTTTTCGGGTTCAGGGTGTAGGGTTTAGGGCTGATTGTGTAGGATTTAGGTCTTAATCAGACCCACAAACCCAAGGCCCTAAGCCTTAAGGCCAAGCCCCTGAAACTTACGTAGTTGGACCTACACCCCAGCTCCCGACCGGAAAACCCTAAACCCTACAGCACAAATCCCAACCTGAACCCTAACACCGGGCCCGTTTAGGGTTTAGGGTTTAGGGTTTAGGGTTTAGGGTTTAGGGTTTGGGGTTTAGGGTGGCCCGCGGCCGTGACCAAAAAAGGGGCCCTGCGGTGACAGCAAAGAACAAATAACCCCCCCCCCCCTGAGTGCTACAGCAAAGAAGGCCTGCGTGTGAGTGAGTGAGTGAGCTCACCCGCGCCCCGCAGCGACAGCAATGAAACAACGCGCCCCGCAGCGACAGCAAAGCAAAAACACCCGCCCCGCAGGGACAGCAAGGAGCAACAAAAACAGCGACAACAAAAAGAAACCCTAAACCCCAAACCTAATTCCGAAACTCTAAATCCCGTGGTGCAACACCTCAAGCCCAAACCCTGAACACTGAGCCCCCACACCTTACACCCTTAACCCTAGACATCCTGAGCCCTAAAAGCCTAAGCCCCAAAACCCTAAAACCCAAAACCCTAAAACCCGACTAAACCCCCAAGCCCTACACCCTAAACCCTCAACCCTAAACCCTAAACCCCCAACCCTAACCCCGAAACCATTAAACCCTAAACCCCCCCCGCCCCAACTCCTGTATCCAGCCCAGGTACTTAGAGGAGAATGGCCTGCCCCTGCTCCCGCCGGTGGATGGACGGCCCCAGTGGGAGAGCTTGGGCCATTTAGGGTTTAGGGTTTAGGGTTTAGGGTTTGGGTTTAGGGTTTACCTTAAGAACCCCAAAACCTACTTTTTTTGTAGGTTACCTAAGAATTCTATACGGGGCTTTAGAAGAAGAGCCTTCAACAATGTAGGTTTTGGGTTCTTAAGGTAGGGTTTAGTGTTGATAACTTGAGCCATTCCGAAGCCGGACATGTCCATAAACCGGAAACGTCCAACCATAAACCCTAAACCCTAAACCCTAAACCCTAAACCCTAAACCCTAAACACTAAACCCTAAACCCTAAACCCTAAACCCTAAACCCTAAACCCTAAACCCTAAACCACGTCCTAAGCCCTCAGCCTCCCTAAACTCGACACTTTCCCTTTGCCCCAAGCCCGGAACCCTACTTCGCAGACTTGTGGTTCTTGTATTGCTATGTTAATCTAGTATGGTGTTATTATACTTTATGCTTGTATCTTACGATATTATATCTTATTGTTTTAGGATTTAGTTGTGTTTTAGGTAGGGTTTAGGGTGCTCTACACCCTAAACCCTGAGCAGCTGTGGCGGTTTCCCAACACCGCCCCCCAGGAACATTCTCTCGGGCGCGAAAGGCCGGCGGGATCCCCTGCATCTGAGTGAGACGGCGCTCCTTTGGTGGCCAATGAAGCTGGGTGGGACTTTACTACAACTTTGTCACTTTGTAAGTTTAGGGCTCCTCTAATTTCATATCAAATCAAGGGAGCTAAGTGTTGTTAAACAGCAACCAAGGAAGCTGGTTACGGGCATACAAAGCTTCAGCTTCCACCCGGGCCCAGTCTACCCCAACTGCACCACCGTGTCGGGCCTGGGTTATGGGCCAATCCGTCCCAGGACCCAGATATCTGTCTTTGGCCTTTCGGTCAAGATCACCAACGAGACGCAGCAGGAGGAGCTGACTTTTGCCAGTGATTGCGGCGCCGGCTGCCTCTACAATGTGGAGCAAGACCCCAGCGAATCCCAAGACCTTTCGAGAGAAGGCATCTACGCCGATACCCTGGTTGCCATGCAGGCCCAGGGGGGTGGACCAATTCCACGCTCTCAAGCTGTAACATGGGGGAGAGTTTCTGATAATCATTTCCTTTGGGTGTCGGCATGATAAGAAGCCCTAAACCCTAAACCCTAAACCCTAAACCCTAAACCCTAAACCCTAAACCCTAAACCCGAAACCCTAAACCCTAAACCCTAAACCGTTGCAGGAGAAGCTGCGCGACCTGAACCGAGGTGACTTGAAGCTGTTACGTATCGCTTTGGTTTGCAAGCCCATCATAGGGTTTAGGTTTAGGGCCTTAAGGCCCTAAATCCCAAAGACCTCAGAGCCATTTTTTCCAGGGACACCTTTTCATGAAGCAACCGGAGGCAACTTCAATCCCAACAGAGGTGGGGAGGCTGTAGAAGCCTGCTTGCAGGCCTGTGCGTTGGGAGGCAGCGCGCCGTGGGGATAAATTCTTTCAATAACCCGAAGCTTACGGCAAAACCCCTAAGGTTCATGTTTAGGGTTTAGGGCTTAAGCCCTAAGCCCGAAACCCGAAACCCGAAAGCCCTCAGCCTCAAACCCTGAACCCTAAACCCTGAACCCCCTGGCCCCTGTTAGGTGTGTACGGCCCTTTTGTGGATGCCGATGGCTTTTATCTGGGTGTGAACCTTACCAAGGCGTGGGGAACCACACACATCCGCAGCAGTCACGGTTCAGGGTGGAGGGTTGAGGAGGGTAGCTTTGTTGTCAGGGTACCCTAAAGCCTGAACTCTCCAGAATCCCTTTAGGGAAAGGGTTTGGGGTAATGCTCACGGAGTTACTGCAAGAGCTTAGGTCCTGTAGCCGCATCTGGTACCTGTTGTTCGAGGGGTTTTGTTGCAATTGGGAGACCTAGGCCATGCAAAAGTGCGGTGCTTTTGTAGTTTGTCCTAGTAGCATTCAGGTTCGGTAAACCCTAAACTCTGAGCCTCAAAGTTTCTGAAAGTCATCCTCTCTTTATGGGAATCTCCGGCTCAAGCCAAGAATCCTTCACCCCCGAAGCCCCCCAAATCCCATTAGCCGAGGCGAAAACCTTAGACCCGAAAGCCTAAGCCCTAAACCCAAACCCCAAACCCCAAACCCTAAACCCTAAACCCGAAACCCTAAACCCCAAACCTCCCCCCCCCCCCCCCCCCCCCCCCCCCCCCCCCCCATCAGGCTGCAGAGGAGTCGACCACCGCTGTCCAATTGCTGGAACTGAACCAGACGGCGGATCAGGACCGACCTCAACCCTAACCCCTGAACCCTGAACCCTGAACCCTAAACCCTGAACCCTAAACCCTAAACCGCCTTTTTCAAAGGCTTATGAAGGATGGGCCGGGCCCTTGTGTTCGTGTGTTTGATAGGGTAGCCTCGGGCGGGGGGGTATAACAAAAACCTTTCGAGGTGAAGGGCCCATATGGAGGGCCCTCCCCCACGGGTTTAGGGTTTAGGGTTAGGGTTTAGGTCCCTACATTGTGCTACTATGCAGAAGCTGAACCCTCAACCCGAAAGCCTAAACCCGAAACCCTAAACCAGAAACCCGAAGCCCTGGACCCTAAGCCACCCTGAACCCTGAACCCTAAACCCTGAACCCTGAACCCTGAACCCTGAACCCTGAACCCTGAACCCTGAACCCTGAACCCTGAACCCTGAACCCTGAACCCTGAACCCTGAACCCTAAACCCTAAACCCTAAACCCTAAACCCTAAACCCTAAACCCTAAACCCTAAGAGGTCACAGGTGCCTGCGTAAAAGCCACCCGCAACAAGGAAGCCCTTCTTGTTCCGATGCTGGGAATCCCAGTCCAAAGCTTCAAAGCCCAAAAGTCCGTCAACCCGAAATCCCCCAAAATCCGGTTCAGGGTTTAGGGTTTCGGGTTTAGGGTTCAGGGTTTAGGGTTTAGGGTTTGGGGTTTAGGGTTTCGGGTTTAGGGTTTAGGGTTTTGGGTTTTGGGTTTGCAAACCCTAGATCATCAAACATCTAAGGCCCTAACGCCCCGAAGTTCCAAAGCCCTAAAGCCCGAAACTTCCCCAAACCCAGTCCACAAATCCTTAACCCGAACCGCAAAGCCTCAACGCTAAAACCCGAAACCCAGAACCCTAAACCCGAAACCCGAAACCCTAAACCCTAAACCCTAAACCCTAAACCCTAAACCCTAAACCCTAAACCCTAAACCCTAAACCCTAAACCGCCAGCGCTGACTCCTTCTGGGATCCCGCTTTAGCAGGGATGTTTTTGGCTTCGGAAGCTTGGGGGCCCCAAAGCTCCTATAGACCCACGAAGCACGAAACCCCGAAGGCCCGAAAGCTCCCAAACCCGAAGCCTCAAACCCCAATTTTGGGTTTAAGGTTTGGGGTTTAGGGCTTGGGGTTTAGGGTTTAGGGTTTAGGGTTTAGGGAGTTTAGGCAACCCCATACCCTGAACCGCCAACAAAAGCCCCAGCACTATCCTCCGGAAATGCTGATGGAGGTTCGGCGGAAGGCCCAGCTGGAGCGGAATGCAAGTCAAGCGCAAGCAGAGGCTCAGGGTTTGGGGTTTAGGGTCTAGGGCTTAGGGTTTAGGGTTTTGGGTCTTAGAGATTAGGGTTTTAGGGGTTTAGGTGTCTAGAGTTTGGGGCCGAGAGGGTTTAGGGCAATGGCTGTGTGTCTAGACGGCCCCCTTTCTGTACAGTAGCAGAGACTCCAAGAGGGGCCCAAAAGCTGTTTGTATGTAACATACTAGTACGTACCTAGCTAATCCCCTAAACCCTAAACCCTAAACCCTAAACCCTAAACCCTAAACCCTAAACCCTAAACCCTAAACCCTAGATCCTAACACCAAAGCCCCAAACCCTGTATATCACATATTCATATGGGTGGTTGTCAAAATTGCGGTCCTTTTTTGGATCCCGATTGTAATACGGCACCGAGTGTTTAGATTTAGGGTTTCCCCCAAGAGGGATTATAATTTTGACAACCACCCATGTATTCATACATATGTTTTTGCACTTGTATGTATTGGGTGACCCTAAACCTCAAGCAATACTTAAGACTAGGGTTTAGGGTTTAGGGTTTAGGGTTTAGGGTTTAGCAAGTCCCGACCCTCGAGCAGGTCTTGAGATTCATCACCAACGCCGCCGAGACGTGCCTAGGCGTGTTCCAGAAGCAATTCTTTGTTGGTTTGACCCCTGAAGGTAAGGGGTTTAGGGTTTAGGGTTTAGGGTTTAGGGTTTGGGCTTTAGTGGTGTTTGAGGGCTTAGGGTTCTTAGGGCTTCCGGAACCTTCAAGCCCAAACCCTCAACCCTCTGCACTGGTTGAGTTTTCACCCTAAACCCTAAACCCTAAACCCTAAACCCTCAACCCTCAACCCTCAACCCTACACCCTACACCCTAAACCCTATACCCTAAACCCTAAACCCTAAACCCCAAACCCACAACCCTGGAGTTCTTAAAGAAGGTATGGCTTCATCATCGAGCCACCACCTACGAGTGACACCTGTTTGGCCAGCACAGCCGCCACAACTGACACAGCCGAGGTCGCGGAGGGCCTCCAAAGCTTGAATTCCTAAGGGACAGGGGTTTAGGGTTAGGGTTTAGGGTTTAGGGTTAGGGCTTAGGGTTCAGCATCTCGAGTCCAAGCATTGACCAGTCAAGCACTTCATTGAGCGTTGCAAAAATACCCACCCGCCCAAAGAATCCCATAACATTAAGAAAATATTTCACAAACATTGACAAATCAGGCGACAAGACAACAACTCTAAAGCCAGGCCAGAGTAGGCCCTAAACCCTAAAGCCAGCCCAGAAAAGAGTGGGCCCTGAACCCTAAACCCAGCCCAGACAAGAGTGGGCCCTGAACCCTAAACCCAGCCCAGAGTGGGGCCTGAACAAAGCCCCTAAAACCAGCCCAGACTAGACCCTAAACCCCTAAACCCTAAAGCCAGCCCAGAGTAGGACCCGAAAGCCAGCCCAGAGTAGGCCTTGAACCCTAAAGCCAGCCCAGAGTCTGGCTCGAACCCTAAAGCCAGCCCAGAGTGGGGCCTGAACCCTAAACCCAGCCCAGAGTGGGGCCTGAACCCTAAATGGACCCGAAAGCCCCAGACTAGACCCTAAACCCCTAAACCCTAAAGCCAGCCCAGAGTAGGCACTGAACTCTAAAGCCAGCCCAGACCAGAGTAGGCCCTGAACCCTAAAGCCTCGACCCTCAAGCCAGCCCAAGCCAGCCCAGATTAGGGCCTGAACCTAAAACCACCTTGCCCAGTAACACGACGACCTTGCCCCCCCCTGCCCAGTAAAAATGCGACCTTGGACCCCGAAGGTCGCCGTTTTACTGGGCAAGGTCGCCGTTTTACTGGGCAAAATCGCCGTTTTGCTGGGCAAGGTCGATTTTTTTGCCCGAACTGACCTTGCCCAGTAAAACGGCAACCTTGCCCAGTAAAACGGCGACCTTGCCCAGTAAAACGGCGGGCGACCTTGCCCAGTAACTCCCCAACATTTAAATTATATATGTAAGAGAGGTTTAGGGTTTAGGGTCTAGGGTTTTGGGTTTAGGGTTTAGGGGGCTTTGTGGGGTTTAGGAGTTTCGGGTTTCGGGTTTGTTTAGGGCTTTGTAGGGTTTAGGAGTTTAGGAAGTCTAGGGTTTAGGGTTGAGGTTTAGGGTTTTGGGTCTAGGGTTTAGGGTTTAGGCAGGCCGGAGTCAGTGAGGTCGTAGCAGCTCGGGGTTTAGTGGTTTGGGCCTCCTTTTGTTTTCAACACTTCGTGTGCTAGAAGGTGGTACTTCAGAATTAACTTGGTCCTTCTTCCCAGGACCCGAGCCGGAAGCCTTACACTTCTGCTACGCGGAATGCTACTCCCTAAGTACACCCTAACTCTCAGCAGACCTAAACCCTGAACGCTAAACCCTAAACCCTAAACCCTAAACCCTAAACCCTAGAACCCTAAACCCTAAACCCTAAACCCTAAACCCTAAACCCTGGAACCCTAAAAGCCCCTCAAGGAGCCTGTTGTGCCGCCGACCCGGCTGCGGCAACGCGGATCCTCCTGGGGCCTCCGCCGACATCGGCTGTCTGAACCAGCCAAGCTTCTGGCTGAAGAGGCATTGGGCTTAGGGCTTTTAGGGGTTTTTTAAGGGTTTTAGGATGGTTTTAGGGTTTTTTTTCAGAGCTTTAGGGGTTTTTAGGGCTTTGAGGGTTTTTAGGGTTCTTAGGCCTGTTTAGGGGCTTTTTAGGGCTTTTAGGGCTTTTAGGGTTTTTAGGTTTTTTTAGGGTTTTTAGGGCTTTTTAGGGGCTTTTAGGGCTTTCAGGGCTTTCAGGGTTTTTCAGGGTTTTTAGGGCTTTTTAGGGTTTTTTTGTGGTATCTAGGGCTTTTAGGGTTTTTAGGGTTCTTATGGTTTTGAAGTATTTAGGGCGTTTTTGGGGTTTTTGGGGTTTTTGGGGTTTTTGGGGTTTTTGGGGTTTTTGGGGTTTTTGGGGTTTTTGGTGTTTTTAGGGTTTTTAGGGTTTTTAGGGTTTTTAGGGTTTTTAGGGCTTTTGGAAATGGGTTTAGGGGCTTGATTTTGTTGGGTCCAGGGTATTGGCTGTCGGGGTTTAGGTAGGGTTTTGGGGTTTCGTGGGTTTAGGGTTTAGGGTTCAGGGTTTAGGGGCGACATCGGGTTTGGAATTGGGGTCTTGAGTTTGAGGTTTGGAAGTTTAGACGTTGGTTTAGGGTTGAAGGGTGGTGCCTTGGCATCGTTCCACATGGTATGAGATCTAAACCCTAAACCCTAAACCCTAAACCCTAAACCCTAAACCCTAAACCCTAAACCCTAAACCCTAAACCCTAAACCCTAAACCCTAAACCCTAAACCCTAAACCCTAAACCCTAAACCCTAAACCCTAAACCCTAAACCCTAAACCCTAAACCCTAAACCCTAAACCCTAAACCCTAAACCCTAAACCCTAAACCCTAAACCCTAAACCCTTGAGATCTTGTGACAAGCCTCTTAGAACGGAACTCCCGGGCTTTGTCACACTACCCTGTTGCAACACCAACCTCTCGACACATAGGCTAAACCTCAAAACCCCAAAAAACCCCTGAAACCCTAAACCCTAAACCCTAAACCCTAAACCCTAAACCCTAAACCCTAAACCCTAAACCCTAAACCCCCAAGTCTAAACCTTACATCCTAAACCCCCCATCATACTTGGAGGCGCATGGGTACTTATAACCCCAATAATAAGTCTACTTATAACCTACTTAGGGGACGTAGGGGATAGATAGAATTGGGGTAGCAAGTACCCATCAACCTCCCAAAAAGCCATAAACCCTAAATCCTAAACCCTAAACCCTAAGCCCTAAACCCTAAACCCCCAATCCTACACCTGAAGCTTCCAAGGGGGTCAGTGAAGCCACGGTCCACTTTGTGCAGTTGGACAAGAGCATTGGCCACGAGGATCTCTGACCATCCCGCGAGCGCGGTTTAGGTTCTTGGGGTTTAGGCATGTAGGGCTAGGGTTTAGGGTTTATAGGGTTAAGGGTTTCGGGTTTAGGGTTTAGGGTTTGGGGGCTGGGAGTTTGGGAGTTTAGGGTTTTAGGCATGTAGGGTTAAGGGTTTAATGCCGACCTTGTAAGCCCTAAAACCCACTCCTGGATGCCCAGTAGCACCCGTATCCCTTGTTTCGTTCCAAGACGGGCTTCTTTTGTATGTCTGGGTCGCTGGGCAGCCTAGAATCCCTATACCCTAAACCCGTATTCCCAGATCCTAAGCCGTAGACACCCCAAAAAGGCCTCAACCCGACGACTGGACAAGCTTGCTGGACAAGCTTGCTGGTAGGGAATAGGGTTTAGGGTTTAGGTTTAGGGTTTAGGGTTTAGGGTTTAGTCTTTAGGGTTTAGTAATCCTTTAAAGGGTAGATGTAGGGGGAGAAAAGGTACCTCGTTCCCTCAATTCCCTGCGTTGAGTTTTCAGCTCCAAACGGGAGGCAAATGGGAGGCGGCCCAGAAGTGGCCTCTTCCGAGTATCTGGCTGGTTCTGAGTGAGGTTTAGGAATTTGAAAAAGCAGGTTTAGGAAATTAGTAGGGATTTAAAGAGCCTGTTTAGGGAATTAGGGTTGAGGGCTTGGGGTGTTGGGGTTTGGGGCTTAGAGTTTAGGATTTAGGGTTCAGGATCAGGCTGTGAGCCCACAGCCTCAGGCCGACTCCCTGCAACCCTTAAGCGCTTCAGGGGAGGAATAGTTTGGGTGGGGGGTTGGCGCTACTAAGCAATGCCAGCACGCGACAGGGAGTGTGCCACTAGAACTAAAGAAAGGCGCGTGTTTCCAGCGCACGTACACTGATGCACACCCTAAACCCCAAACCCTAGACCTAAACCCTAAGGGTCTAGGGGGTTTAGCCGACTTTCCGCTTCTTCAGGGATCGTGTCCGTGGCTGAATGTTTGTAGGGAGGTTCAAGGATGGAAGGGCTTGGGGTTGGAAGACGCATGCACTACATGGTGCACCGACCACGTGTCTACAGCTGATGTTGACAAAGAGTATATGATATACAAGTATATATATATAGTTATATCAATATAGTATATATATATATATGCAGGATAATTCAAGGATATATATATATAATAGAAATAAATAACGAACTAACTAAATAAATAAAAGAAAAAACGCTCTATATATATACACACAGAGTTTCTATGTTTGCCTGTTTGTTTAACGGCACATGGCTTTCCGTTCCGAATCCATTGAAGCCATCGAGCCCAACACCCTAAGCTCTCCCCGAACTGCATCTCTCAAGGCCAGACCCCAAAACCCTAAACCCTAAACCCTAAACCCTAAACCCTAAACCCTAAACCCTAAACCCTAAACCCTAAACCCTAAACCCTAAACCCTAAACCCTAAACCCTAAACCCCAGAATATCCCGTCGTGTGCTCCTTTCAGATTCAGGTTTTGGGGGATGTGGGGTTCAGGACGTTTCTAATTTCTAAGGTTGTCTAGGGTTTCGAGGCTCAGGGGTTTTAGATTTAAGGTTCAGAGGGTTTCGGGATTCGGGCTTGGCTAGCCGGCTAGCCCATGCTACGAACCAGCCAAGCTACGTTCAAGTTCGCGCGTGATTCCCAGACTCAAAAAGTTGTGTCGTGCGACGTGGACATAGGCCATAACACCAAAAGCAAACCTAGTGTACATGGGGGTTCTCTGAGACATGTCCCTTTTCGGGTTCCCCTGGTTTTTTCAGAGTCCCATGTTGAGGGTACCCTACAAGAGACCATCATGTAGAGAACTGCCCACATGTCTTCGGGTTTCGAGTGGTTGCAACTGAAGGGCGCAACACGAGGTTTAAGGTTTTATCACTTGTGTGTTTCTGTCAGTTTTCAGGTCTACTAGGTTGAGTGTTTATTAGGTTTAAGACTTAGTTTTTTGTTTAGTGTTTGTAAGGTGTAAGGTTCTGTTTTTTGGGTTGGTTAGGCCTGCAGGATTCAGGGCAGATCGGTGCCAGTGTTTCGTAGGTTGCGGGCGCTGGGTCGCGCGTGGTGTTTGGTTGAGCCTGGTACACAGGTTTAGGGTTCAGGGTTCAAGGTTCAGGGTTTAGGGTTTAGGGTTTAGGGTTACCAAATGGACTGACCCCAAACCCTAAACCCGAAAAGCCCAAACCCAAACCCCGAAGCCCGAGCCCCCCTAAAACCCTAAACTCTCTAACGCCCCAAACCCCAAATCCTTGGGGCCTTGGGGCTTGGATGGCTTTTGGGGTTCAGCGGTTTAGGGTTGTTGGGTTTCTGGGCGCCATGCGACACATTGCCATTTCCCACAACATAAAAACTCAGGGGGCGCAAAGGTGCTTTCAAAGGAGTGGTTGTAGGGCTTTGGATTTGGGGCTCAGGGTTTTGCGCGGGGCATGGTGCGGACTCCTTGTGTTTGGGGTTGTAGGGGTTGAGAACCCTCTACACCCTATAAACCCCTATAAACCCCCCCTAAACCCCATAAACCCCTTAACCCCAAAACCCTAGACCCTAAACCTGATCTGGATTTTTTGTCATGGGTTAAGCGCAAAGAGCGGGGGCACCCTAAGACAAGCACCGAGCTATTTTTCATGATCTTTAGTCTGTTGCAACTGCGTTGCTTCAGGAAGCGCCCCCATGTTCTGTTGCTGATCTCCGTGAAACCCTAAATCCGAAACCCGAACCCTAAACCTCAAGCCCTAAGCCCTAAACCCTAAACTCTAAACCCTAAACCCTAAACCGCACCGCAGGCGCCACTTCATCCAAAGGATTCGTGGTGTGAGAGTGAAGGTCGGTTCTACCAAAGCGGGGCAGCACAAGCGCCACACATCCGTGCACGAAGCTTAGGGTTTAGGTTTAGGGTTTAGAAGGCCTAGAGGCCAGCTGGTGGATGTTGAGGTACCCTAAGAAGCGGCTTGAGACTTGAGCCTGTGTATGTCCCCCCATGGTTCGATGGCGTGCTTTCCGGCCTCGGATCCTCTGCTCTTTGTGCTTCTGGTGGCGCGCCTTCGGTTCGTGGAGCCGCGTGTCGGACCTGGCGGATCCCGTTGATCCCGCCGGCCCGCCGGCGCGCTCCGCGCATATCGGCTTCTGGGATGCCTCGCGGCAAGCCCTTCTGATCCACGGCGGAAGTGACCTGGCTGGTGATCTCTGGCAGTTTGCGGCCGCGACGGGGGCCTGGATGCAGGTGGGGACGGCAGTAGCGCCTGCGGCGCGCGCGTCGCATGCGGCGGGCTGGGATGCGGGCAACCAGGCGCTGTGGGTGCATGGCGGCTACAACAGCGAAACGTCCACCTGGTTTCGAGACGTATGGAAGCTGCAATCGGGAACTTGGATGCTGGAGTTCAATGATGGCGGGCCGTGTGGGAGGCAGGCCCACGTGGCCGTGTGGGACTCAAGCACGGCTGCTCTTTGGGTGCACGGAGGTTGGAGTGGTTCCATCCTGTTGTCGGACTTGTGGCAGTACAACTCCCGAACAGGCAGATGGCAGGAGTTGGCAGTCTTGGCGTCCTCCGCACCTTCCGCACGCTCGCATCACGTGGCGGTGTGGGACGGGACCAGTGAAGCACTTTGGCTTCATGGGGGTTACAGTGAGAGTCTGCTGGGGGACCTGTGGGCATGGGATACCTCCTCGCTCAGTTGGACAGAGATCGCCTTTGAGGGCGGGCCTACAAGGAGGTCTGGCCATGCCGCAGTCTGGGACGACGCCAACCGCGCCTTCTGGCTGCATGGCGGCAACGATGGCTTCCTGAGACGGGATCTTTGGAAGTACGAAGCTTGGGCCAAGTATTCATACATCAAACAATGAGAAAGCCGATTGCTTGCCCCACGAATAAACATGTTCTTCCTGTTAAGGGTAATATAGAGATGTTTATCTTTCATGTTTTGGGGTTCTAAACATGGTAAGGGTAATTCGGGCAATAGGGATTATTGGGGTCTCTGAAGCGAGCAGTAGAAACCGACAAACGCTTGGCTGGCAAGTCCCAAGCTTGGAACCCTGAACAGTAGAAGTAGCAAGGCTGTGGTGAGGTCCTTTGAGGAAGAAATTCGGAGCCTGAAAGAGGTCCCAACACCCGCATCAGGCAAAATCTCGCGCAAAGGACCCCACAGACTGCCAAATGGTGAGCTGAACCCCCGACACCACCTAAAACTCGAAAACCCTAAAACCCTGCAACCCTAAAAGCCCCAAATCCCTGAACCCCCCTCCCCTCCCCCAACTCCACCAAAAAACAAAAACCGAACACCCCAAACCTTGAGATTGCAAGGAGTCCGGGTCCAACTCGTATATAAGCGCCCTTTAAGGGATTTTGGGTACCTCATTCCCTCATTCCCTACTAAGAACCAACCAGTTGCAAGGAGTCCTAAACCCTAAACCCTAAACCCTAAACCCTAAACCCTAAACCCTAAACCCTAAACCCTAAACCCTAAACCCTAAACCCTAAACCCTAAACCCTAAACCCTAAACCCTAAACCCTCAAGGAGTCCCTGTCCAACTTATGGAGCCTGGTTGCGGACCACGTCGGCCCTTCGGGTCGCTGGTCTCACGTGGCTGCCTGGGACAGCGGAAGTCAGATCATGCGTCTTGGGCTTTGGAGGCTTTGGGGGGGTTTAGGGTTTTAGGGTTTTAGGGTTTTAGGGTTTTAGGGTTTTAGGGTTTAGGGTTTAGGGTTTAGAGTTTTGGGGTTCAGGGTTTTAGGGAGTCAGATCATGCGTCTTGGGCTTTGGGGGCTTTGGGGGCTTAAGGGGCTTTGGGGGGCCTAGGGTTTTAGGGTTTAGGGTTGAGGGTTTAGGGTTTCGGGTTTTGGGGTTTAGGGTTTTGGGGTTTAGTTTTGGGGTTAGGGCCTGGGGGCCGAGATCACAAGAATTCCTGCCCAACGGCCCCTAGAACTCGACCTACAACGGTTTGCAACAATGATGAGCCCCTAATCCCTACATCCTAAACCCTCAACGCTAAACCAATTGGGATCCCCA